TAATTTCTTGCTTTCTGTCTCTGTCTTTCTGGTGAGTGCATACACCCTATAGCAAAAATCTCTCAAACAAACAAACAAAAAACTAATTTTGTTGCTTCACCAACCAGATTTTTCTCCTCTAAAGACTGGTCCTATGATGCTTCTTCACTGTGGTCATAATATTGTAACAAAAAATAGCACGAAGAATTTGGAAGATTAAATAGCTAAAAATAAAAATTTCCATTTCAATTTATCCATTTTTTTCTTTTTTTCCTTTTTTTTTTTTTTTTTATTTGAGAGAGTTTTTTGTCTTAGTTCTTCACTTTCTCAAATGCATATATTTTTTTCTTTAAGAATTTTTAAAAATTTTTTTCCTTTTTTTTTTTTTTTTAATTTGAGAGAGATTTTTGCTATAGAGTATGTGTGTGCTCACCAGAAAGACAGAAAGTGAGAAATCACCCCCCAGGGGCTATGGCCACACTGCAATCACCTCTCCTCCAGTCTCCTCTGGAGATCCTGGGCATGCACACACACACACTGATGTGAGTTTAAGCTACCAGTTCCAGGACTCAAACCACAGTTGACTATGTAGGAGTCCAGCATTGTAACCATATGCCAACTGCTATTCCCTATCCCCCCCTTTTTTTTGGAGAGATATTTTTCTTAATGGGCACATGCGCTCACCAGAAAGACAGAGACAGAGAGATAGAAAGCGAGAAATTACCCCCCTCCCCCCGAAGGATGCCCATGCCGCAATCCCTTCTCCTCCATTCTCTTCTTGGATCTTGGGCACGCACACACGTGAGTTTAAGCCACTGGGTCCGGGACTCAAACCGTGGTCAACTACATGGAAGTCCAATGACATAGCCATTACACTAACTGCTGGTCCCTCCCCCTATCCCTTTTTTAATAAAAGATTTATTTATTTAATCCTATTTATCGTTACCATTATTATCATTTTAATTTGCCCGCCAGAAAGAGAGATGAGGGGCAAAGTGAGAAAGGAAACCACCAGGAGGTCCAGGACTTGAACCACTGTTGGGAACCATGTGGGAGTACAATGCCCCAACCAGCATGCCACCTGCTGGCCCTATATTCCTTTTATTTCCCACAGTAAACATATTTCTTTCTTTTTTCATACACTTAAAAAAAAAGCTGCTATTTCTCATACAACCAGAACTCCTTCCCTATGTCTACAAATGGGGTAAAACTAAGACCTATTCAGTTCCTGTATTTGACACCTCATCTAGTGGGTGGTTTCCAGTCCACTCCTCCTCTCTCAGCAAGACTGAATGGCAGTATTCCTTAACCTGTGGAACACAGTCTAACTGTAACCACTGATGATACATCCTGTATTAAAAAGTAGAAAGGAAAGAAGACAAATAGTTTAAATGTCTAAATGTATACATTGGAGAGCAAGAAAGAAAATACTGGCCAGTGCTTAGTTGCCATTCCACAGCTGGTCACAGGCTGGGGTCCATATGCCCACTTTCCCCTGTAGTAACCATTCCATGTTCCTTTTGACCTCATTCAGCATCTCAGCTCTGTTTAGCACCTCAGCTGTTCGAAACCACCCAAACCTTTCATCCTGGGTCCTTGACATTATCCTTTCTTGGCCCCAAATGACCAGATGTAGCTCAAACTTCTACTTCGGTGGAATCATGATTGTGTTCCTCACTTGGACATTGTCTCTAAATCACCCTGGAGGATGGAAGAAAGTTTGCAGGTGGATGATTAGGTGCAATTGTGAAATATTTCACTCTCCTTTCACCCTTTAATTTCCCAGTAAGTTTTTTCTGTCTATAGTGATTGCTCTTTGAGACCCATATTGAGCCTGTAAGATGGCACTTCAAGTTCCCAAGTTATTATTTCCCAGGTGGCACCATAATGAAGTCTTCAGTCGGCCGTTAAACATTTTGGAAACCCACCGGCTTCTAGATAATGGAGTACATGGCAGGTGGTGACTTTCATTGTCCTTGGAACGTCTGTTAATTGTTGTTCTTGGATTACTTGATCAGAAGCACTGGCGTTGGAACACCGTGATTGAGATTAGTACGTGGATTAGGAGTCTGGCAGGAGCGTGGGTGGGAGGTGGAGTGGAGAAGGCACAGTACAGCCCACAGTAGTACCGGTTCAGTGAATATGAAGTTCTGCCTCCTTCAAGGTGAAAGGAGCATAATTACCTTGCAGCTGGCCTGCTGGCTGATACCTTCAAGAATGGTACCATGTGTCCAGTTCACTTTCAGTTGCCACTGCTGCTAGTTGGTATGTGGTGGTGCCCGTAGTCAAGTTGGTCTAAGGAGAAAACCATACTGGTACACCTGCCTATGTATGGCTTTGATTTCTGCAAGCATTGCTAGTTGATTATCCCACATAGCAAGTGCTGTGGGAGTTGAGGTGAGGGGCAGGCTGATGGGCATATGTAGAACCAACTGCCTACAGCACTCCTGCCAGGCGTGAGGAGCCTGCGGACTTATTTCAGTGCTCATAACTTCTGTATTATGAGTTTAGCATGACATTTATACCAGGACTTTTCATTTTAAATTCTTGAAGTATCCTAAATCTCAGAAAAGGAAAAGGATAGCACGATGAACCCCTCACCTGAATTCACCACTCTTTGACATTTTTCGCTCTTATTTACTGTATTGAATATTTGTTTCTCCCCATATTCACATTTCCTTATTGTCTCCACATTTCTTAAAATAATGTTTTCTTTTTCCTGATTCAGAATCCAGTCGAAGATTACACAGTGCCTTTTGAGTGTTCTAGTGTCTGAGGTGCTTCAGTTCTTTGAGGAAGTTCCACTGCCTTCCTTATTCATTTTTTGTTATTGTTTTATGGCATTGACATTTTACAAAGGCCAGGACAATTATCTTGTAGATTATCTCACATTCTACATTGGGCTGATTTCTTCTTCATGATTAGATTCAGGCTAAACATCCTGTCAAGAAATGTTAAGTAGCTCATCGTGTGACATTCTCATGTAATTGTGTCAGTAAGGTCATAATGTGAATCTGTCCCATCATTGGTACTAAATTGATCATTTTTGTAAAAATATTTTAAGAGAGATTTTTGCTGTAAGGCATGTGTACTTGCTGGAGAGACAGAGACAGGGAGATAGAAAGCGAGAAATCACCCCCTAGGGGATGGCCACGCCACAGTTCCTTCTCTGCAATTCTCCTCTTGGGATTTTGGGCACACATATGCATGCACCCGGTGTGAGTTTTAAGATGCTGGGTCTGGGATTGAACCACGGTTAACTGTGTGGGAATTCAGTGACATAATTGTTATGCCACCTGCTTGTTCCTGATCATTTGTTCTTTAAACAGGAGATTTAATGAATATCATCTGCGTGGTGATAATTTAGGTTATGTGAGTCTTCTGTGGTTTCTGTGATCTTTGATGATCCTTGCTTTTATTCTGCCCAGATAATTGAAGAATGTTTTTTTCTAATTCTATTATTTCTTCTTTATTAACTGTAATTCATTCACTTTGTATTCTAATGAGAAATGTAATTGTTCCAGTTATTTTTCTCAGTTTTTATGCCAGTAGAGTTAAATGAAAGTCCATACACCATCGTATTTATTTAATGTCCTGGTGGAATTGGGAGGAAATGTTTCTGGATCATAAATACAGTTTCACATTAACATTCCCGCATAAACTCCTCTTGAAAATTAATCCACTTGGGCCAATAATTAGATTTAAATAAGCCATTAAGTTGTTCTGTTTTTCCATATTGTTTTCCATCTTTATGTTCTCTCTATCCAATTGCTTGTATTAATTTCTAACAAATTATTTCTGTTGTCCTAACATTTGTAATAATTGCACATTAATTTTCTGTTATTATAGCTGTGGAAATACAAAGGACTCTGAATCAACTTGGAACACCTCAAGATTCACCTGAATTGAGGCAACAGCTGTAAGTATTTAATTAAATCAAAAAGGAAAAGGGGGGGGACTCTATGGGTGTCATTATGTTGCTTTGATATAGCATGTTGTGTTTACCGGAGGAAACAGTGGAAAATGAGATTTTTCTGCTACCGTATCATATATTTATACTCAGCTGTTGTGTAGGTTTCTCCCTATCCAGAGTAAACAGGTGTTTGTTTTGAAGATCTGGCTTACTCTTTTAAAGCAGAACATCTTAATTACCTTTCTTATATTTTTTAAATAGGTTTTTATTTTTATTTTTGTTTGTTTGTTTTTTGGGTTTTTTTTTTTTTTTTAAGAAGTTTTTGCCTTAGTGAGAAATCATTCCCTGGGGGGATGACCACACCAAAGTCCCTTCTCCTCCATTTTCTTGCTGGGATCTTGGGCATGCACACACTTGTGCTCAGTATGAGTTTTCAGTATGAGTTTTAAGCCACCAGGTCTGGGCTCAAACCATGCTTGGTCATATGGGAGTACAGTGACGTAACTGCTATGCCAACTGCTGGCCACTTAAATAGTTTTGGATGGCTTTTGAAAAACTGTACTCCTAGCTTTTCAATTTATTTGATTACTTCCCAAAAGCCAACAGGCCCTGAATGACCAGATTTTTATTAGGTTTAGATCCAGTGTATATTTGTTTATATAAAGTATCCCCCCTAGAATTTTATACTTATCTACTCAATTTCAGAAAGTCTAGTTTCTGTAACAAAAATTTATAATGCAGTTAAATAATACATGTCCTAGTAAATGTGCCATTGAAGGAACAATAATAATACCTTGTCTATGGCATATTGTAGATTTTATATAATGTTTTTACATGTGTTTTCATCTAAACTGTACAAATTGGAGTGAAATAGGTAGACCAAAAGAACTATTTCCATTTTGCTAAAAAGGAAAATCTGTTTCTTGGAACTTTTATGATTTATCCAACATCATTCAGAAACTAACTCTTAAATCTCATTTCAGGTATTACAGCTACACATTCCAAGTAAGATATATCTAAGAAGTGATATTTCTGAATACTGTTAACTATAGAAGGAAAATTGCAGAGGACAAAATTTAAAAATAGGCAGTAATTCACTTTATCAAGTATATTTTGAAGACTTTTACAGTTATCTTTAATTTCTATTATGTTTTTCTACAGTAGTTAGATGTGAGGGTGGTAAAAATTCTCTAAATCTAAATAATAAACACATCACATCTCTTACTAAAATTAAGTAAATTGGATTTGAAATTCATAATTTTTAGTAGTTGCAGTATTATTATATAGTTGGTAGTGGAGATTCTGAATATATAGACATGACCTTATTTTTAGAACTTTGTATTCCTAGGAGAAAACTTTGTAGAAAAATTGATTTAAAGTTTATTTCAGTGCAAGAAATATTTGCATAGTTTCATAATAGTAACTTTCCATGAACTTTTTGAAGAATCCCCCACACACATTTCTAGAGATTTAAAAATACATGTATTAAGGATAGACTATTTTGCAAATGGACATATAAATAAGTTATAATTCTTCATTAGATACAGACGTCCATACTTAAGCATATTCTTACATAGTATAGGATCCTAAGTGTAGCCAATCCATGTTTAAAATGAAAGGGAATGTATATGAGAGGTACATATGTTGCAATATGTAACATATCATATTAATACAGTTTTTAGTGTCATATATTTTAGTAAGTTTGCATTTTGGGACCAGCAGATGGCATGATTACATTGCTGGATGCCCACGTAGTCAGCCACAGTTCAGTTCGAGTGCTGGAAAAAGTGGTTTAAAACTCATGCTGGGCAGCTTAAAACTTATGCTGGGCAGCTTAAAATTTATGTTGGGTGCCTGCCCATGCATGCCCAAGATTCTTAGAGGAGAATGGAGAAGAAGGGATTATAGCATAGCCATCCACCTGGGGGTGATTTCTCACTTTCTGTCTCTGGTAAGTGCACATGCCTTATAGCAAAAATCTCTCCTTAAAAAGGAAAGGAAAAAAAAAAAAAGAAAATTTGCGTTTTACTTTATAGCTAGCTGGTTAGATACAGATATGGATATGACTTACTATACGTCTTTTCTCGTGTTCTGTTACCTTTATAAGGAATCGCTATTTTTTTTTAAATACAGCAAACTCAAATAATAGTAAGTTTGTGCTACTATTATTACTCTCCCTCCTTTTTCTTTCTTTCTTTTTTTTTTCATTTTTCTCTTTTAAGTATCAATAGTATGTAAAATCCCCACATAGAAAAATGTGGGAGACCAGATATACTTAAGATCTGAGAACTGGGGGGAACCAGCAGTTAGCGTAATGGCTATGTTGCTGGACTCCCACATAGTCGACCGCGGTTCGTGTCCCAGACCCGGTGGCTTAAAACTCACGCTGGGTGCATGTGTGTGCGTGCCCAAGATCCCGAAAGGAGAATGGAAGAGAAGGGATTGCGGTGTGGCCATCCCCCCCTGTGGGGTGATTTCTCGCTTTCTGTCTCTATGTCTCTCTCTTTCTGTCTGGCAAGCGCACGCACCCTATAGCAAAAACCTCTCCAAAAAAAAAAAAAATCTGAGAACTGGGCAGAGTCTAAGGC